CTTGTGTTGGGCTTCTGGGATTTTGAGTATGAAGTGTTTTGGGAAAGTTCTTTTCTGATCAGGGGTATTTGGAGTTGTACATGTCTTGCTCACCTGTATGTTGAATTTTTTCTTCATACTCGGAAAATTATCTATGATTTTTGTAAACAGAATTTTTATGCCATTCAAAATAACTTCTAATTTCTCTATAATTTCAATTAAACTTGGGTTAGTCTTCATTGTACATCTAGCAGCTATTGGATTCATTTCCTGTGATCTCTTGTTTTGAAGATATCTCCAAGTATATAGTCATCTGCATCAGCCCTACCTTCTAGTTCTGACACTCTTTCTTCACATTGGTCACTTCTGCTGTCCACACCTTCAATAGAATTACTTATCTCCTGGATTTTTGTATCTTTTCATAGACTCTTATTTTTTGCTAAACTGGTCATTAATGTCTTTTCTTTAATCATTGATCATTTCGTTTAGCTCAGCTAGCTTTCCACTTTTGTCTTCTTTAAGCTCATTTTGTTTATTGAGTATCTGTTTAGTCTTTTTTTTTTTTTTTTTTTTTGGTACCAGGGATTGAACTCAGGACCTTGCGCTTTCGAGGCAGTCACCAGAACCACTGAGCTAAATCCCTGGCCCTATCTAGTTATAGTCTTGAACTCACATAACATATTACTGATCATTTTTTTCTTCTCTTATTAGTTTGTATGATTCAGTCATTTGATTTTTTATTTCCTTCTCATCGAAGCCCATTGGATCAGTTTTATGGGAATTAGAAGGTTTTGGAAGTACTTTGTTGTATATTGGGGGTGTGTGTGTGTGTGTGTGTGTGTGTGTGTGTGTGTACACTGAGGGTTCAGGATCAACTAGAGTGGAAAGACTTCGTTGCTAGTATTGAGCTCTAAGTTAGTGTCTGTTTCCCAGTGCTGTGATCTTGAATTTTATTATATTTTAGTATTTTTTAACCTCTTTGAACTACTCAGTTTAATAGAGCCAGATCCAGTCACTGTGTTGCAAGAAGAGAATCCCTGCCAGTTACATCAACTTCAACAGATCTTATAGCTACTCACATACATTAAAACTTGTATTAACAATTTCAGCTTTTTATCAATGCTTCATACAGACTGTACTGTAATAACAGGCTGGGATGTGATGGGAGAAAGGAAAGAAAAAGGAAGAGAGAAAGGAAGTGAGTAAATCAGTAATAGAAGAAGACACGAGAATTATCAATAGATGTTTTTGGGGTTTTTTGGTACCAGGGATCGAACTGGGGTCCTTGTGCTTGCAAGGCAGGCAGCAGAACCACTGAGCTAAATTCTTGGGAATTATCAATAGATGAAAAACAGACTGGAGTGGAATTATTTTTATAGCTGGAGTAAAGGGCTAGTGTTGAGGGGGCTTGAAAGAATATTTATGGGAGCGGGAGAAGGAATGCAGATGGAAGGAAGTATAAATGGTGATTGAGGAAACCTGTGAGAATATCAGAACTTTTTAATGTGTTGAGAGTTAGCTTAAGTTTTGATCCTCTATACACAACTTTGGTGAGAGTTACCTTGACTGGCCCATGAAAGGTACTATTTAGAATAAAGCATTGCTTAATACATGCCCTTCTTTGCACTTGTATAGATACTCCCTATATATAAATCAATGCAGGAACAGAAGAGAGGGAAGATGAAGGGATAAGAAAGAGGAAAACAGAGGATAAAAGACTAAAAAAAAGGAAAACAGAAAAAAGAGAAAGAACAAACAAAAAAGCCTCATGCAGGGCCCAGGGATTTAGCTCAGTGGCACTGCATCTGCCTGGGAAGCATAAGGTCCTAAGTTCGATCCCTGGTCAAAAGAACAAAACAAAATAAAACAAAAAGTCTCATGCAATTCCAAAAACACAATATTAAAGCACTGTCATGGGCTGGGGATTTAGCTCAGTGATTCCGCCGCCTGCCCCACAAGTGCAAGGACCTGAGTTCGATCCCTGGTACCAAAAAAAAAAAAAAAAAAAACCCAAAGCACTGCCATATTCTTATTTATATTAGCAATTCAACTAATAAACTTTTCCCTCCATGTTCACACATGGGGAAGTTTTGACCTATAGGGTGGTATGGGTGGGCCCCTGGGCCTAGCTCTCTTTTTCCCTCATCCTCCTCAGAACATCGCTGTGGCCACAAGTATTCTCTTTTTCTCACTCCTCACTTTCCACAGCATGCTCTGTTGCTGCAGCTCTTGGGGTTTCTCTTCCCCTATGCCCAACTTTCTGCCTGTGAGAGAGGAGGCTTGTTCATCCCAATGGCCTTCTGAGTCTGGCTCTCTGCTGACAACCATGAGGCAGAGGCATAGCCACTTGTGGGCTTGGATTTGTCTTAAGATCCATCCCGCTCTGTTAATTCAAAGAAGGTTTAGCTTAGTACTCAGTTTTCTGCTGATTTCTTCTGGGGCCCTCTCAAACTCCACTCCTTTCCCTGCTCAGCAAATCCCATAGCTGTTCTATATTCTTCCCCCAAAAGCCTTCTGCCAAGCGCTGCTAACACTCTCTAGTGAACACTCCCTGTCTTTGGCCCTTTCTCATTCAGTTAAGTCTCCCCAAAGCTTCACTTTCTAACCCAAAAATTTGGAAAAGACTTTAGCCCTGCTGCATTCAGCAGCCTCTGGCAGGAAACTGTAGGGGCTCCCCTGTGGGTGCCAGATGGTAGGCTTGGGCAGTGAGCTGGATGTCCCATGAACACATTTCCAGTGCTTGGGGGAAGACAGGGTGAGTCCCTATTCCATGGCTGGTTGGTCTCCCCTTTCCCCATGGTTTCTCCATTCACATTCTAGTTACTCCCACAGGGTTCTAGGGCCTCTCCCAAGACGACATATACAGTGGAGTCCGGGGACCCAAGGTCCAGGAAGAGTCTATCTTTCCTAAACCTCCTGACTCTATATTTGGATCTGGTGAGTTTCTCTGCCTTCCCATATCTGTCTTTCTTTTTCACATCCCATCCCCACCCTTTTTCAGTGTACCTGAGGTTTCTGGAAGCCTCATTCTCTCACCTCTGTCACCTAGCAGGCCATGATGGAAAAGTGTACTAAAATTTGAGCTTCCCGGTATCTGATGACTCACATAAATGATGTAAAAGAAATGTGAAGGCTGTCAGAATCAAAATGGAGTCACTTGTGCCAACCCTACCCCATAAAAGTAAATAAAATCAAAAAGTTATAAAGGAAGGGTTCTTGCACATTGCTATGCCTTCTATCCCAAAGGCCATTAAACACCCAAAGGTGTTAAAAGGGTTGGCCACCAGCCTCTGTTGCTATTGGGAGGCAGTAAAACCTTTAGGGTATGTGGCCCAGCGGGAGGCACTCGGGTCATTAGGAGTGCATCAGTGAGTCATATGTTGGGGGTCCTAGTCCCTTCCTTTCTCCACTGATGTGGGTGAGCAGCGTCTTCCTCTTTATGCTTACACCATGATGTACAGTGCTACTAGAGGCCCATGGCAATAGTCAACAACTATGGGCTGAAACTTCTGAAATTATGAGTCTAAATAAACCTCTCCATTATTAACTTGTTTTCTCAGTTATTTTGTCACTGAGACAGAAAGTTGACTAACACACACATAATTGCCTGATAAAACTATCACAAAAGATTGCCAGAACCATAGGTTTTTATAGAAACCATCACAGGCTTCTGTAAATACTTTTACAGGGATCTGCCCAGAATGCTTCAACCTCAGACTGGTGTCACTCTTATTACCATGCAAGCAAGGTCTATTGCTTCAAAAAAGGACTACTGCTTCTGATCCTTCTTATTGTTATCTTTTGGAAACTTCCTCTTGCTTCAGCCCCTTTGAAAATGCGTGTAATTTATAAGGCGTGTGTATTCTCACCACAATGCTCTGCTATTCAAATGCTCTGTCAATCCCAAATAAATATCATAATTCTTTGGAAATTCTTTGATTTTTAAAAACTTAGGTTGAAAGATCTCTCATTGATCTCTCTAGATAAGTTCTTAAAATATGGATTCTCTGGTAAGAATACACAATATTTATAAATAAAGAATAGTAATTACAGATCTATCTGAATGGAATGAGATGTTACATATTTTCCCACTCTGTGAATAAATCCTTGGCTCCTTTACATTGTCAATCATGAAAAAAATAGAAAATAATATAGAAAGACAAAAATGAAAGAGTAAAAGACAAAAAAGAACAGGAAAAGAGAGTTTTGAAGGCAAAATTTGTTTATTTATTTTTGAAAAGCAAAGATAATGAAAAAAAATCTTGAAAGAGGTAGGAACAGGACTGGCATATCATATAAGAGAAGAGGATTTTTTTTTTTTGGTACTAGGGATCGAACTAGGGACCTTGCACTTGTGAGGCAGGCTGAGGAACCACTGAGCTAAATCTCCGACCCGAGGAACAATTAAAAAATAAAACAGAAGTCTTTGACCTCTCATAGAAGACTATAGAAAATTTTGGGGTGGGGGTCAACCAGTATTTCCAAAACTTTTTCATCACCCCCAAACACAAATGCTTTTTTTTTCTTTTGAGACAGGGTCTAGCTATGCACTCCAGGCTAGCCTTGAGCTCACTATAAGGCTCAGGCTGCAGGCTGCCTGGACCGAGATCCAGAGGTTCTCAGGCCTTAGCTGGGACTACAAGTGTGCACCACCACACCCAGCTCTGTTTTATATTTTGAGACAAGGTCTCCTTAAATTTCTCAGGCTGGCTTTGAATTTGTGAATATCCTGTTTCACCCTGCCCAGCAGCTGAGATTACAAGTGTGCTCCTCCACAACCAGGCTGTCCTGTCTTTTTTGTAATGGGCCACCAATGTCACCTCTGCCGAACATATGCCTGGCTTCCTCAGGCTTGTTCCTGTGTCAGTATGCTTTAGATCCTGAGCCAGTAACTTCCTCATGCTTTGGTAGGTGTTGCAGGTGCAGTTCAGTGTCACTCAGCTTGGACTTTTTGCTTTCAGAATCACCCCCCCGTACACACACACACACACACACACACACACACACACACACGCACGCACCTGGTTCAGTGGGAGAAGGTGTTGCAGTGGGACCCTGGAACTCAAGGCCAGTGGAAGGTCTTGGATTTCTAGGCAGGGGTCTGGCCCCCTCTCATCCTCAGAGCTCAGGCCTCAGTCACTGGCAGATGAGCTCTGGAGAGCTACCTGCTGCTTCTTGTAGGGACCGGGTGGGGGTGGGGTCACAGGCAGAAGAAGGATAAAATAGGATCTCATTAAGCTTTGTTAAAAAAATTAAGAAATGTTACTAAAGGAAGCTTTTGCCTCTTCAGTTATGTCTTCAAAAATTAGAAAAACAAATGTAAAGAAAAAGAGAAACCAGACCCAGGAAGGCACCCAAGTAAGAATTAACATAAAAATTTAGCAGGAAGAGTCCACAGGAAAAACAGGGACTAGTTGGGAACATGAAACACCAGGGTAACCTGTCCCTCCATACAATAAAATACAAAGGAGATAAGTGGGAGCCACTTCAAGACTCTTATTTAATACATACATGTCCTCTTTAATTTCTAACTCTAAGCTGCCCTTCTATGAAGCGTCCCCCTCCTCACATTTACCCATCACAAATGGGCAAGAAGGTATCAAATGGCCAGAAAGAATGTAGACAGAGGTGTCCAGACTAGGATCAAAGACCGCCAGAGAACCAATCGGATGGCCACAACTTTCAAGTGCCCACATGGGGGGGTGGGGGGATCTCTAGTCTTGAATAAAAAGCTGAGGACAAAACCACACGTGTATTCTCTTCTCATGCCCTCTGCTTTTCCAGAGTAGCTACCTTCTCTTTTATCTGCACCGTTCCAAACAAACTGTCTTCCTTTAAACTCTGCCTCTTTAATTCATTACTGTTTCCGAGTTTACCTCCTGGTAGGGCCCTGGTAGCTGCGTGTTCCCGCTGAGCAGAGGCCTGGCCTGGCCTGGCCTGGCGCACACACCCTAGACGTGACATTATGCCACTCATCCTTCTTCTGTGTAAACAACCTTCAATCAGTGGGCCTCCAGCCAAAACGACCCTGCCAGGCCGGGGCACACAGCAGCCGAAGGGAAGACAGATGAGAGTTCGCTCAGCGTTTATTTTCCACAATAACACGCTGCTCTCTATCCTCCTGCCGCTCAGGTTTGCACACCGACAACGACCTTGGGATTTCATGCTGCACTGTAGGGACTTCCGCCTCGTCCCGCACCTTCTGCCTAGCCTCGGACCCTTTCGCCCCGGGCGTAGTTTCCAGGGGTAGCATTCTCCACCGCATCCCACGGAACTCCTGGCAGCGTGCTTCCGGTCGCAGCACTTCCTGTTGCGAGGTGTGGCTGGGGATTACAAAAGGTCCTCTCCGTGGCGCTGCAGGTTTGGCAGGGGTTCGGGCTCCTGTGTTTCTTCGTCGGAGCACCTAGTCTGCGCTGGCTCTCGGGAGGAGCCCGGCTTGGCCCGTAAAGGGCAGGGAGACAGGTCAGGAGGCCCTCCGGCGGAGAGGGCTGGGCGCACCCTGGTACACTTGTCGGTGAGGAGGGCGGCGCGCTGTTCACGCATGAGCTGCCTGTGACGTTTCCAGGCGTCCGGGGTAGGGCACACTCCGGACATCTTTGCTGCCCAGGCATGTGGCCCAGCGGGACTCAGGAGCGGTCACTCCTTCGCAAGTGAACCTTGTGCCCTCGCCCCGTGTGACTTTGTACCTCGGTGTTAGGGTAAACCGACGCACGACCGAGACCATCAGAGCAGGCAAAAATAAAGCAACAAACGAAGTTTTATTTCCAGCCTGGGTACAAGGCTAGTCAAGGGCGACCAAGCCGTTGACCCTGGGGGCTTGGGGAAGGAGAAACTTTATAGGGGAGTTTGTGTAGGGGAGGGGTACTGCCGGGGGGGGGGGGGTCAGGTGATCTCCAGGGTTGTCTGGATCTACACATGTTGCTTCGTGGGTGGGCTGTTTATCTCGAAACCGGGGCTTGGCTTCCTGTTATCCTTTGTGCTTTGCAGCATATGTAACAGCATTGCCTGGTAAGTTTTTTGCCTGGGCAGGGGTCTGACACCCTGGGGTCCCCCCTCGTCTGAGCCTGGTGCTCCCTCCTTCAGTGTGCAGACCACGCCCACGCTGTCTTCCAGTTCTCCTGGCACGGTGCACGAAGGCACAGGGCACAGCTGTGCTGCATGCCCAGGACTTCTTGCTCTGTCGAGAAATGTATTATTTGGTGCAACCAATAGGAAGTTGGAAATATTCTCATTACTGGCCTTAAAGCATTTTTAAAATAAGTTGTCATAAACTCACACATACTAAAACTAGATGAAACCCGACGCAAAATAAAATGATCCATGTCAAAGAGAAAGCCCTTTTAGAAACCGAGTGCCCAAACTATAACCCCCAAACCACTGATTTATCGCAAAGTGCCAACATTACATTTAAACCTGAATACTGAGGTTTTTGTTTAGAAAAACAACATGGCAGCTCATCTCACGTGTGGACTGAAAGGGAGGGATCTGTGTGCCAGCTGCGGCACAAGTTCCATATGTTCACCATCACGGCCTTGGGGTAACCACATAGTGAACAACTGCAGGACTGATGAGCCCTCAGCTCTCATGTCACAAAGACAGTCTGAACTTATATTTTTCCTGGGAATGACATAAGCTTTCCTTTTACCTGTATTTCATTGTTCATGTGTAGAGCTACCAAGTACAAAGTCTTGTACCTTAGTTGTATCACTTCATGGACAACTATTTTAAGTCCCTTCCAAAAATAAATGTGGTGTTTAAAAGAATGAACTATAATACAGAGCCATTTTCAGTGTTCTGACCCATACAGGCCAGGAGATTCACTGTGTTGCCCTGGTCCTGTAGTTCCTGCTTTCTCTGGACACCCAGATTTTCTGGAGAGGGCTCCAGCTCCCACTCTGGTGCATTCTGACCACAGTTATACAGGAGGAGGCTGTGCAGTAAAGAGAAAACACAAGAATTGTCTTCTGACCCCTGTTGTGTCTTGTGCTGGCCTTAGTTTCAGCTTTGACAAGAACTGTTAAACAAGCACTCCTGTTTGGGCATTTGTTTCTGTTTTAACTACATTTAATTATAATGTTAAGTGAACATCAGAAAATATCCATTAAGAAAACATAAACCTTATTTTAAATAGTTACTCTTTACAATTTTTGTTAAGATTTTTTTCTTTCCAGTTTATGTGGACTCATTTGGGAATAACAAAAATGCTACCTATATGATTCTTAATTTGTTATCAGATAAAAAATTGAGGGGCCAGGGATTTAGTTCAGTGGTTCTGCCTCCTGCCTCAAAAGCACAAGGTCCTGAGTTCGATCCCTGGTACCAAAAAAAAAAGTTTGAAACACTAGATATTTTCAAAGTTCACGTCAAAGCTGAGTCGTGAGTGGTGCTCCCCCAACTGCTTTGCACTTGTGCTCTCTGGCAGCTTACAGCACTTTGGGTCCCCTGAGCAAAGTTTGGCTATGCTGCATCCCTCCATCACCTCATGCAGAAGAATTGCTGATTTCTCCCTTGTCACCTTTGTAGAGATGCTTCAAAAGATACAATAGCGGTCATTTTTAGGGGATGTCTCTTCTAATATCATGCTAGAACTTGCTTTGGGGATAGATCTTATTTTCAGGGAAACAAGGTATCATGTTTCCCCCCAAACAAGACCTACTAAGAGATCAAAAATCCCAGCCCCAATCAACCCATCCTTGCCTTGCCTGCCAGGACAGAGTGGCTATTGAGCACTACATTGAGCAGTAAGATCTGTTATAAAAAATCCACTTGTCAAAAAAACAGGCTCTTTGTTTTGAGAAAAAGAAAAGTTTATTCCAGTGAACAGGAACTAGAATCAGGGAGTAAAATTAGGAGATTTTAGCTGTTAGCTGGGAAAGATTTCATCCGTGAATGGATGGGCTAACGTTGGGAGAGAGAAGTAGCCAGCAGGGAAGCAAGACTATACTTACATAGATTTTGGGGAAGAGATTATAATCATAAGGGATTTTTATGATTTGAATGCCCAAGGATGGTCTTTTCAGGTGGGTATGCAGTTACTGGACTTCTCATTGCCAGGGGAGTTGTAAACCATATTTTGAGTCTATTTGCCCTCTTGCAAATGTGAAGCTGCTATTGTTTGCTGAAAGCAGCCTGTTTGGTTTAGGGCAGGCCTGACAAGATCTAATCTCCATGACACTGGGCATCACCATGGTAATGAACAGCTATTCACTGTAGTTGAAGTTTATTTTCCAGTTAGGTTTTATTTTGGGGGAAACACCTAACCTACTAAATATCATAGCTTAGCTACACAGTACATTGTGGTGTATTGCTTGTTTACCCTTGTGATTGTGTCCTCCTGCCCAGTATTGCCAGATACAACATTTTGGTAGCCTGGGAAAAGACCAAAATTCAAAGTACAGTTTGTACTGAATGTATATTGCTTACATACCATTGTGAGGTCAAAATATCATGCCAAATCATAAGTCAGGTCAAAAATTTCAAATTTTTGATATCTCTTAAAAATTATTCAAAATAGAAAAGACTGAAAAGGACTGAATCAACATAATGAGTATATAATAAGAGAATTAAGTAATGGCAAAAATAAATAATAGATGACCAAAATATATTTTTAATGTTTTAAATACTTTAATGTCTGAAGATTATAACATGAAATAAATGTATTAGCAGTGTTAAAATACAAAAGTACAAATCTATTTTATAAATCTAGTCTAGATACAAATCTAGTTTAGCATATCTTAACTGACTTTATTTGCAAACCTAGAGCTAGACAATAGTCTGGACTAAAAATGATTCAGAATACTGATTAATCACACGGCAGGTTATTCTAGCCAGAGAAAAGGAAGTGAACAGAAGACAGAAATGAGGTAAAGATATTCTGATTGGTTACAGGTCACTGTCTCCTTTGAATGTGATTTGTACAGTTAGCTGCTGTGATTGGCTGAGACTTGGCTACTTCTTACAAGAGTAAGTTACTGTCCGTTTGCACATCAAGTTAGGTTGTAGTTCACTATGCATAGAGAAACCTTTAAGCTAAGCTTAAGACATTTAAGAGGAAAAGCTTTAAGCCAATCTTAATTCAGCTTAACAATAGCAGTCCTATACAGACATAAAACTTCTACTTAAAAAAATATTGAAAATAATCAGATGACAATTTAGATTCACATTCAATACATATTTTGATTAATGTGGTAGATAATTGTTCTAAATGCCTTAGAAAAGCTTACGCACGAAATATAGCTCGACTGTTACCCTCATTTAGAAGGAACATCCTTGATAAAGCTACCACTGATTCATAAACTTGAGGAGTTTAAGAATGCCCATATTCTTGCTGGGGAGACATGCAGAGCATGCCTCAGTGTTACCCAGGTTCTTTCTCTTCAGTGTGACTCCTATTAGAAGTTCCTGAGGTGGTGGGGGTGGTCAGACAGGAGATTCAGACATGGCTTCAGACCTGGGCTCTGTGACATCAGCTGACTGCTGAATGGGCCAAAAGGTGGTGAGTTTAAAAGAAGGCAACATTTAAAACTCTCATGATGAATGAAAAGTAAAGCCAGGCACCTTGGTTCTCATTTTAGTGGAGATTAAAAGGAACCTAGGATGACATATGTTTTGGGCAAGGGGCACAACCAATCCCCCACACATTCGGGGCAGACTGTATTTATCCCCCAGGGTTTCTGGGATGATTGAACAAGAGAAAAGTAATAATAGCGGCTAGACATACAGCCCTGGGACTGTTAGTCTGAGCCAATTCCCTGCCTCCTTCTGTCCCCAGGGGTCTGATGTTTGGGAATATAGAGACTTCACGCAGCTGGAAGTGCCATCCCTTACAGAGATGCTGCAGAGACTTAGTTCTTCCCAGCCTTGGTCACTTTATTGAGGTGCCCAGAGGTAGACATGGCTGATACAGGATGTGGTGTCCTCATGTGACGGGCCCCTTGGGATGTGCAAGTTTCATTTCCTCTTCTCCTACAGGGTTATCAGCTTCAAAATACAGAATAGGTTCATGTTCTTGTCTTTCTGTCCCAGCCCAGACCCTGGAGGGCCCAGAGAAACTTCTGCCTCTGCCATCAATCTGGGTGGGCTTGTGAAGCAATCTTGCCTGAACCAGGCGTGGTGGTGCCTGCCTGTAATACAGCAATTCAGAAAGTTGAAGCAAGAGGATAGCAATTTTCAGGCCAGCCTAGGCAACTTAATGGGACGCTTTGTCAAAAAAAAAAAAACCAACTTTCTAGGAACACACAAATACAGGAGAAAAGAGGTCCTACATTTTGTTTTGCTTTTGTTTTGTTTTGCACCAGGGTCTTACTATGTTGCCCAGACTGGCCTTATACTTAGGATCCTCCTGCCTCAGCCTCTGAAGTAGCACATGCCACTGTGTCTGGCTTCTGTACATGCCTTTCTGAGTATGTATCTTATTACTGAGCTTTTTCTATGGGCTACACACTTCAGTCATAATATCTTATTTAATACTATATGCATAAATTTAACAAATGAATTATTCCTGTTATC